GCTGCAAGGTCCCGCATTGCCTGGGCTTGTCCCAGAGTGGGGCCATTGGCCAGGGCTAGCACTGAGCCCAACGCAAAGAGCCCACCCAGGGCTTCCACTTCTCAAGTCAAAGGCAGCTGGGGGGAGGAGGGGAGGGTGTCCCCCAGTTGCCCCCTGAGGCTGGCCAGTGGGGTTTGGGGGGCCTGGCACGACCCCAGACCCAGTGCAGCCCAACTCCCTGCCCCGCCATCCCAAGAACCCCCCTGGGATTGTCCCACCGTAGGGATGGCCCGGCCCTGTGCAGAGGCAGCCGCTGAGGGAGTGGTGGAGCCCACAGGCACCGGCTGCATTGTGCCAGGGCCAACAGCTCATGAGGTGCCTCCTGACACTGAGCCCCAAGCAACCTCTCCACCCTCCTGCAGCACCAGGCACAAACCACTCCTGCTCTCTCAGAGCAGCTCTTCTCTGCCCTGGCTTGTTCACTCTGGGCCCTACTGATGCCCCGGCCCTACTGATACCCCAGCCCTGCTGGATGCAGGTGTCACTGCTGAGTGCTGGGGAGGAGCACCGCTAGGAAGATGGTGCCAGGTAACGCTACGGGACCAATTGCACTCCACACCTCCCTTGGCTGCTTCTGGTTGTGGAGGAAGAGCCCACAGAGGCACCTGCCCAGTGCCGGCCCCACTGTATCACGTACACCCCTCCCTGGTCTGTGCACGCACATGGCTGGGGGCTGCCGGGAGCCAGCATGGCCCCCACCCCCGGCCCCAGCACCCAGCACCCCGCTGCAAGGTCCCGCATTGCCTGGGCTTGTCCCAGAGTGGGGCCATTGGCCAGGGCTAGCACTGAGCCCAACGCAAAGAGCCCACCCAGGGCTTCCACTTCTCAAGTCAAAGGCAGCTGGGGGGAGGAGGGGAGGGTGTCCCCCAGTTGCCCCCTGAGGCTGGCCAGTGGGGTTTGGGGGGCCTGGCACGACCCCAGACCCAGTGCAGCCCAACTCCCTGCCCCGCCATCCCAAGAACCCCCCTGGGATTGTCCCACCGTAGGGATGGCCCGGCCCTGTGCAGAGGCAGCCGCTGAGGGAGTGGTGGAGCCCACAGGCACCGGCTGCATTGTGCCAGGGCCAACAGCTCATGAGGTGCCTCCTGACACTGAGCCCCAAGCAACCTCTCCACCCTCCTGCAGCACCAGGCACAAACCACTCCTGCTCTCTCAGAGCAGCTCTTCTCTGCCCTGGCTTGTTCACTCTGGGCCCTACTGATGCCCCGGCCCTACTGATACCCCAGCCCTGCTGGATGCAGGTGTCACTGCTGAGTGCTGGGGAGGAGCACCGCTAGGAAGATGGTGCCAGGTAACGCTACGGGACCAATTGCACTCCACACCTCCCTTGGCTGCTTCTGGTTGTGGAGGAAGAGCCCACAGAGGCACCTGCCCAGTGCCGGCCCCACTGTATCACGTACAACCCAGCAAAGGAGCCCAGGGAAAGGTGCAGGGCCGGGAGCAGCAGGAACTGGAACAGGATCTGAACCCGAAGGAGAAAATGAACACAGAGGTGACCAGAGCAGGGAGCTTATGTAAGGACAGACACCCGTGGTGAGGAGCTGTGGCACCCAACACCCGCCCCATTTGCATAGGGCAGGAGCAGCTCAGGGGGGTCCAGCACCTGGGTGGGGGCAGCCCCTGGTCCTGGCACAGGCTGGGGATGGAGGGATGGACAGCAGCCCTGCCGAGAAGGGCTCGGGGGGGCCGGGGGGGGAAGAGCTGGCCAGGAGCCGGCACCGTGCGCCGGCAGCCCAGCGAGCCCCCGGCATCCCGGGCTGCATCCCCAGCAGCGTGGCCGGCAGGGCGAGGGGGGATTGTGCCCCTCTGCTGCGCTCTGCTCTGCTCTGGGGAGACCCCCCTGCAGTGCTGCCTCCAGCTCGGGGGCCTCAGCACAGGAGAGACATGGACCTGGTGGAGCGGGGCCAGAGGAGGCCACCGAGATGCTGGGAGGGCTGGAGCCCCTCTGCTGGGAGAGTTGGGGGGTTCAGGCTGGAAAGGTCTCCTTCCACCCAAACCATCCAGTGATTCTATGACCCCATGGGCAGCGCCAGGGCCGGTGCCGGGCTTCCCCTTCGGCAAGGCAGGGAGAAGAGCCCTAGCATCCTCCTCCCAAGGGGATCCCATCACAGCCAGAGGCCATTTCCACCATACCACTCCCACCCCACAGGTGCCCCAAGGCACTGATGCAACGCGGCTCAAACAGGGGGGCTGCTCCCCGCCCCCCCTCCAGCTTTCACCCCACCACAACGCTTGAGGAGCAAAGAGCTTTATTTAAAAATATGTTTATGTACATGTGTGTTGAGGGGACGGTCACATTCATTGAGTAGGGCTCCAGGAGAACAGGACCCCATGTTCAGCGTCGCGGAGCAGCAGGGTGGGACGAGGGGCTGGAGGCAGCCCCGGGATGGGGGGCTCAGGCTCCCACCTGCTCCTGACTGAGCAGGATCCATGTGGAGATCCTGGGGATGCTGCCTGCCCACAGCTCCAGGCCACCAAAGTCCCTTGCCCGGGATCCTCCCCGTGCAGCAGCCTGCAGAGAAGGGACCATATGGCCACCGTGTCCTCCGGTCACCACGGTGCCACAGCTGTGCCGAACTGGTGCTGGAGGGGGATGGCGGAGGTGCCGGGCAGGCTCCCATGGGCTGGCGAGAGCAGAGGAAGACGATGGTGCTGCCGCGGAGGCAGGGGAGCCGGGCCCCAGGGGAGTGCTCGATGGAGGAAGACATGGCAGTGCCCGTGGCAAGGAACCGACCCGACTATTGCTGCGGTGGAGCTGGGGTGTCCCGGGGCTCACAGGATCCTGACGAGGCGGCCCAGCGTCTCTGCCACCTTGACAGGGGGGCGGTGGGGCCGCGGCCCCCCACCCCTGCCCCAGGCTGGGAACCTGCCCGGGGCCAAGCCGCGTCCCGGCTTTGCTCCATCACCCAAGGAAGGAGAAACTCCACTCCAGGGATGCTGGGCCCCTCTGCCAGCCCCCTCCCCTGCTCCAGCCCCATCAAAGGCCCAGGGGGGGAACAGGCACCCCAGTTCCTCTTTGCCCCCTCCAAGGACCCCCCAGCTCTGCAGCCCAGGGGACGGATGCCACGGCAGCAGGACGGCGCTGCGGAGGCTGCTGACCCTGGGGCAGTGGGACCGAGGGGTCCCTGGGGCACCGGCCTGAAGCTGGTGGGGCTTCTCCCACACCGCCCTGGGGGGGGGAAACAGCCCCCAGCGTGGGGGTCCGGGGCCGGGGAGGGGAGCGGAGCCCCCGCGGGGCCGTGCAGACGCTCGCCGGGCCAAGCCTCCCCTATCAGCACGATTTCCTAACGCCTGGAACAGCTCCCAGTAGTAAGAAAACAATCCAGGTAGTTTTTCCTAGCAGTAAAAGTATAATAATATTTTTCCAGTAGCTTGTTTACCCGGCGCAGGAGAGCCCTCGCCTCCCCGCCGATCCCACCCCGCTCCCCGCGCCGAGCCAGGCTCCCCTGATTTATGTGCCCGCTCGCTCCCCGCTCGCAGCATCCTCGTGCCTCTCGCCGGCCCCGGCAGCGGGGGTGTCCCCGGCCGGGCTGCAATGCGAAGCCCCCCCGGACCCCGCGCGGCCGAACCACTCAACACGGGAAGCTCGCGCAACCCAATCCAGGCCTGCTCGCTCCAGCGATTACTCACACGCAGGCAGATTATCTTTCACTTGTTTCAAACAGACAGGCCTCTTTCTTCTGGAAGGGCTCAGGGAGCCAACGGAAAGATAGTTTTTCCTTTTTTAGTGTTTTTTAAGCTCCCTTGGAACAAACCGAAAGTTTCCATGCATTACTATATACTATGAGGTCACTAGTGACAGGGAAAAAATCCCTGAAATCCAGGAAAATTACTTAACCCCGCTCCAAAATGCCACCAGCTTCAAGTTGACTTTTTATTAGCCCTTCGTAAGGAGCCTTAACTCTGCCTCTTAACGGTTAACACATTACAAACAAAGGCTGCGAGTCCCCTCCTGCTTACGCTAAGCCACTGCAAATGCCCCCGGAGCCCCCCCGGACACCCGGGGCCGAGGACCGGTGCTCGCGGTGCGGCTCAGGGTTCGCCCAGCGCCCGCTGGCAGAGCCGCGCTCCTGGGTGAGCTCCAAGCTCACGGGGTACAACCCAAACGCCATCTCGGCATGCGCAACACCGACGGCTCGGCCCCCTGGCAGCACCTTGGGTTCCAGCCCAGGACCCCCCGTGTCTGGTGCCCGCAGGTGTCGGGTTCATCCTGGTCGCAGCTGTGGCTTCACGGGCTGAGCGGGAGGTCGGGGACATTCCCTGTGTCCCCACGCAACCGCTCTCTCACCCCACGTGCTGCCTCGGGACAGCGCCGCATCCCACCGCGCCGGCTCAGCCAGGAGGGAGCAGGACGCCATCGCAGCCTTGTCCCACTCCGATGGCCTAAAGCCATCCCCAGGCACTCACGGGAGGTTGTCCCCGGCGCTGCCCTGAGAGCCGAGTGGGCACCTCGGGCACGGGGAGGTCGGGGAGCCCCATCTCATGGGGCTGAGCTCCGGCCCCAGCAGGCAGAGGCGAGCTCCCCGTCCCCAGCAGTGCCAGCCGCGGGCGGCAGCACCCACTCACCCGAAATGAGTTGGTCCAGGTCCACATGCTGACACTGGTCTTCGTCCACGTGCAGCACAAGGAAGCCTGAGGAAGAATTCCAGAGTCAGGGCTTGGTCTGGATCCCACCGAGGAGCCCCACGTCCAAGGACACAGGTAACGGCAGCGTGCCACCGGGCACCAGGTCACTTGTCCCTGTGCCAGCGCCTTGTGCGGAGCCTCCATGGAAACCTCACAAGAGCCACTCACGTGAGGACCACCATGGATGCTGTACACACAACACCCTAACGTGAGCCCTACGGAGATGCCCACCAGCATGTCTGCTGCTGCAGCTCCAGTAACTTCTCCTAAAGCATAGGATCATAGCCTCATCGAATAGTTTGGGTGGGAGGGGACCTTAAAGGCCATCGAGTCCCCCCCCTGCCCTGGGCAGGGACACCTCCCACCAGCCCAGGTTGCTCAGAGCCCCGTCCAACCTGGCCTTGAACACCTCCAGGGATGGGGCAGCCACAGCTTCTCGGGGCAACCTGGGCCGGGGGCTCACCACCCGCACAGACAAGGAGTTCTTCCTCCGATCTCACCTAAATCCCCCCTCTGTCAGTGTCAAACCGTTCCCCCTGGTCCCACGGCTCCCCTCCCTGATGCAGAGTCCCTCCCCAGCTCTCCTGGAGCCCCTTTAGGCACTGGAAGGGGCTCTGAGGTCT